TTTTAAATAGTTATAAATGAGTAATTTCTTAACTGTTATAAGTGGACAGTTTTTGAAGTGAGAATAAAGGACATATATGCTCTTTATATGCCCGCTATATGCTAGTTAGATAAGGAGTAAAAATATCTAATGAAAAGTCTAGAAATTGGGGTTATTCACTCTCTTATTAGTAATATAGGTAGATTTGTTGAAAGAGCGCTTATTTCAAACAGGGGTAGTATAGTTATTCAACAGGGTAGGTCTGGGCTGGATCGGGGACCCGATCTTGAACCAAAAGCATATAAACCCGATCCAACCTGGACTTTGAATGTTTGTAAGTTTTAAGCCTAGAAAACCCTATTATTACCTGAGTTTATCAGGTCTGACCCGGTAAGCTGAATACGTTTGACAAGCCTTTGGTATTTTTGAAAGAAAAAAAAAATGCTAATTGATTTGCTCTCTCTCTCTCTTCAAAATTTCTTATATATCCCCTAAAAATGATAACTAAACCATGGGAAACATACAGAAAATGTTGGGGAGATATTTATGTCAAGTGCTGGTCAGCACGTATAAAACCAGTCCTGACCCTATTGTAAATTTGTAACCTCAACTTAAAATGTAGACCAAGAACCAACTCTATTGATAATCAGGAAATTGAACCAGACCCGGGTCGAGGATCGGGCCGGGTGAGGAAAAATAAAAATGAAAGGAGGGACAAATTTAAATGAATTTGTATAAATATTGTTAGCTACAAGCACATGAGGAACCATGTATTTGTCATTTCCTTGAAGTAGGTAACAATAGAGCCATGACTTCAAGTATGCCCTACCAACCACAATCTGCACCAGCCAACCCGGTATTAAAAAAACCATTTATTTGGCCAAGTAACCTGTCAACCCCAATTAATGGATGTTTAGTAAACCCCTAAACCACATCTTTACTGAACTGTTTTATCTTAAAAAGGTGCATAATTAAGCTCAAACATGCCCAGATTATGATATTCTCACTAATAAATAAGAGCCATTGATATTTTTCATTAGCTTGAGAGTGCAGAAAATCTCCATGAATATTGTTTGTTTGTTGGTCAGATGGATTTAGGCACATTAGCCTCCACTCTTGTCTATGCCTTTCTCTTTGGCACAATCGTTTGCCTGAGGCTATGGCTGATGAAGTCATTGCAGAGCAAGGGAAGGCTACCTCCAGGCCCACCAAGGTGGCCTATCTTTGGCAACCTTCTTCAATTGGGCCCCCTCCCACACAGGGACCTTGCTTCCTTCTGTGACAAGTATGGACCATTGGACTATCTTCGACTTGGGAGTGTTGATGCTATCACCACGAATGACCTCGAGATCATCCGTGAAATACTTCTCCGACAGGATGAATGAAGTATTTGCTTCTCGACCTCGAACGCTAGCGGCAGTAAACCTAGCTTATGAATGTGGTGAAGTAGCATTGGCTCCATTAGGGTCACAGTGGAAGAGAATGAGGAGAATATGCATGGAGCACCTACTGAGCATCAAGCGGCTCGAGTCATTTGCGGATCATCGTGCTCGCGAAGCTCACCATCTCGTTGAAGATGTATATGATCGGTCTCAAACCGGGAAGCCCGTTAACTTAGACAAGTCTTGGGAGCTTTTCCATGAACAATGTGACAATAATGTTGCTACGTAGGGCTGTTCATAAGAAGGCCCAACCCGACCAAACCGATCAATCCGGATCGATCCAACTCGAGTCGGCCGGGTTTTCATTAGCACGGGTCGGTTTCGGGTTGTGCAAATTCCTAAACCGATCCAACTCGAACTGAACCGACTTAGTTCCTAGTTCAAATATGAAGTTCCAAAGCCCATTAGGCCACCTAGTTTTGAATGGTTGCAAGAAACTTTGGATTAGTGAATAGTGATTAAATGAACAACTTTTGTGGTTAACTTTTCATTTAAATTTTATCATAGGAGATTGCTGAAATGATGTTCAATTTATGACTGTTTTTAAAATTAGCAAGATTTTATCACAGGGATAAACTTAGAACCGAAACCGACTCAACCTGACTCAAACCGACCAGATCGGTTTTGCTTAACACTGGATCGGTTTCGGTTTCTATGTCAGGTAACCCGACCAGGTCGGGTCGATTGAAAAAGCCACAGTAAACCGACCCAACCCAACCCGTGAACAGCCCTAGTTGCTAGGGAAACAATATTTTGGCATTGAGTCAGCCGGTCCTCAGGAAGCAATGGAGTTCATGCATATCACTCATGAACTGTTTTGGCTTCTAGGGTTGATTTACTTGGGTGATTACTTGCCCATATGGAGGTGGCTTGACCCTTTTGGGTGTGAGAAGAAGATGAGGGAAGTGGAGAAGAGAGTGGATGGGTTTCATATGAAAATAATTAATGAAGAACATAGGAAAGGGAGAGAGAGGAAAAAGGAGAAGAAAGGAGAGGATGATGACAGGGAGATGGACTTTGTTGATATCTTGTTGTCTTTGCCTGGTGAACAAGGGAAGGAGCACTTGGACGAATTCCGACCGGAAAGGCATTTGTCGGCCGGCAGATGGAAGCCGAGGAGTCGATCTCAAGTCATGGAATTGACTTGAAGATTTTGCCATTCAGTGGTGGCAAGAGGAAGTGCCCTGGGGCTCACCTTCGTCCTCATGGCTATTCCATTGCTTCGACTGGATTCCGCCGGAGAGATTGAAAGCAGAAGACATTGATACAACTGAAGTGTATGGGATGACCATGCCCAAGGGCCAAGCCCTTGATGGCTATAGCCAGGCCACGCTTGGACTGCTGAGTGAGAATAATCTTAATGGCTAGTTTGAATAAAATAATTTTAGTTATTGTTAGTTTGGGAACTTCATGGAATCCAAACAAAGCCTAGCCTTATGGGATTCAAGAAATGAAATTATAAACATATTGACACAATCAATTTATTTTATACTATAAAGTTATGCATAGAAAACTGAAACTATACTGGGCTTGCTTTAGTGCTCTGGCCCATTTAAAATTTGAAAAAATTCTCAACCCAACCCAAAAGATTTAATTTATCTGTCATGGGCTGCTTCTTCCTTCAAAAGCATGGCTAGGCCTAGGCCTCCGACTTAGAGGCTAGATAAATTTTAGGGTATTTTAATTCAAAATAAATAAATATATATATATATATATTAAGAAATAATTCATGTTTTTAATTACAAATCAAATATCACTTAATCTTCTTATTCAAATAAATGGAATTTTTATGTGCTGATCCAAGAAACCATGGGTGCTGGAGAAGGTGCCGTATTCAATACGGGTCATCATGCAACGTGGAGAAGGTGCCGATGCTTCTTTCTATCCTTACTCCGTTAAATGCTCCTACACCTATGAGAGTATGAATCCTTAGAGTCTTAAAACTTTTAGGGAAAAGTACCAATCAGCCTAGATCAGAATTTTCTAAGCCCAAAGTACAGGGAAAATGCATCCTGACCGTGAATTGATGCCAAACTCACGAGCAGGATGTGGTTTATAGGGGGAGAGGGCTAGCTTCCGGTGCAACGCGCAATTAAGCCGCGTACGTAAAAGAGTACTGTTGAAGCCTATATATATATGATCTCTTTTCCTCCTGAGATCAGATCATCGTCTCAAGGCTAACTGCCAAAGCAACCGCAACCGACAGTTAGATAATTTACCACTACCAGTCTTCAGCAGTCTCTCTCTGGTACTTGTTCCGATTTGCTTTCTGTCACCTCCTCCGGATCCGGCAATGGTCACCATGGTTGCACCGGCTGTGCGATGTGCCCTAGACGCTGCGGAAGAAAGGTTCAAGGCCCAGGACGTAGAAGGCGCGATCAAGCACGCCAACGCCGCCAAACAGCTTCACCCCCATCCGGAGGCCATTGATCAGTTGCTCGCTGCTTACAACGTCCATCTGGTTGCTACAAAGAAGAGGAAAAGAAACGGCGACATGGATTGGTACGCGCTTCTCAACATCGCCGATTCTGCATCTGCGGACACCGAGACCATCAAGAGGCAATACAAGAGGATGTCTCTCATGGTTCACCCCGACAAGAACAGCTCTGTTGCTGCTGAGGGCGCCTTCAAGCTTATCTCTGAAGCGTGGAGCGTCCTATCCCAACCCACCAAGAGGCGCAAGTACGATCTTCGATCGGGTACCTACGCCCATGCACGTTCAACTCCATCTGCAGCGGCTGAGGCTTCTGGTTCTAGTTTTCCGACGACGACGAGTGCAGCTTCCACGGTGGAGATCAAGCCGTGCCCTTGTTGCAGTAAGCCAGTGAGTCATGAAAAGGCCAACAACGGTGTCTTCTCTATTGTGTGCCGGGATTGTGGTTTTAGGTTCAAGTACGTGAGTTCAGAATTCTACGAGTGGAGTACCAGCAAGCGCAAGCCTGTGACCTTCTCTTTCACCACGGATGAAGGAAAAGAGATCAAGATTCGAACTTTCTGATGATACTTATTGGATGTTCACTCATTCTTTCATTTTTTTTTTTTCTTTCCTTGATAAAATTTACTACTCTGTTCATCATCATTTTCTCAAAAACAAATAAGCGATTATATTTTGTCAATATTCAAGCTTTCATCTTTATCATCAGTGCATTTATGTAAGGTGTGAATTTGCAATACTCTATTAATTCGGACTGGAAATGCCATCAAACGCGCGAACTTAACCCAGACCCAAATCCTTACAGCCACACCCGTAATCAGACTATAATTGACATTTCCTTTTGTACCCTGCTTGGAGTGCATGCGCAACCAAAAAAATGCCCAAAAGTCACTTCCAAACGACTATTACCACTTCATTTTTCGGGGATCCTGCAATGATTCAATGAAGACTAACCGGTAGAAGAAAGAGCTCTTGAGGCATCTTGACAGCTAAAAAGGCCATAGAAAACCCATGAAAGCAAAACTCATCCAACCACTCTCCACGATAACCAATTCATCGATGGCTCTTGATCCTCTCTGCATTCCCTGATCTAAGTCACTCCCCATCCCTATAGATGACAAGAAAACCGAGTACTTTTTCCCATATTAACTCACCAAAGAAATCCTTAAAATGCATAAATTGTTCTTCTTATACATCATCAGCTTAAATGAACAACAATCACAGTATTTCAATGACATGTATGCAAACTGTTGCTCTCAGCCCGGAAAATTCAAAGGGAGAGCCAACAATTGAACAAATGTTCCACTTACTCAACAGTGGACCATTTGTTTAAAGCAATATGCCTGACATCTACTTAAATCGCCACCATGCAGGAAACAAAAGCTAAAAAAAAAGGAAAAAAAAAAAAAAAACTCTCTTGATGTAATTTCCAACCGTAACAGTTGGAATTCATTCATCCATTTCTAGATTCACACGAACGGCTGCTCGGATTATAAGGATCTTTCTTCCATATTGCCTCAAGGTTCTGGAAGCACTTCAGTGGTCTAACCTGTACATAATACAAGAATATACAGAAGCTTAACGATCATCATACGTTACAGTCCTATCAACCCGCAGTCCATAGGCATGATAATCTCCATCAAACTATGCACCACATCATAACTCAGCCAATTTTCCAACCATACACTTCTACAAACTGTTTAAAAGTAAGGAAGCCAGTGATTTGTGGATTACATGCAAGGCATGACACAATCTAATAATTGCAAGAGTCCAGAATGATGAGCATGGGTATTCTTTGCAAAGTGCTAGGCAATACTCCTCCATTATTACACCATTACTATCATATACACAAATGGAGAATGATCACTTTTTCTTTCTCAATTTTAGTGCATCAAATATATTACAGACCTTCCAACGCCTTTTGTGAGAAAGACGGTTATTAATCTCATCCAGCCTGCCAATTATTGTTTTGAATGTTGGTCTCTGTGATGGCTTCTCACTCCAGCATTCCTCGATTAACCTATGAAAAGCATAATAACATAGCTTCAGCAATTAAAATTGCCCTGTCATGCTACATGCTACCTAATATGAGGCGCTAAACATGAGAAAAGAACTAAAGCACTCAATAGTATTAACAAACGAGACCAAGATGAATTGAACAGCAAGCATTTGGATTATTGGATGCAAAGAATCTCCTTTACCTGAATGAGAGAAAATAGCAATGATATCTTTAAGACAGATGCCTTGCTCATGATATTAAGGGAATATAACTAGCAAAAAGTTTACCTTAAAGAGAAAAATCCTCATACAAACATTACTCATCAATTTTCCTTTCAAGGACTAATCCCATTTAAGCATTAGCTTAAAATCATAGATGTTGTAAAAGTTATATTACAGGCATGAGCAACCCTTCTTTCTTCTCTTCTGATCCCCCCCCCCCCAAATTAGTGCCTGAGCTTATCATTGTCTATTTTGGTTTTCAATGTACTTTATGTTACACACTCCTCGTATTTCCATAAAGAACAGAGATAATATTTGCATTCTGTTCAATTTTGAGCAAGAAAGCTAATTTTTAACACTATTTATGTCAAGTAGATAAGCAACTTAGAATGGTGGCATGGTGAAAATAAGAACAAATTACAGCATAGCAAGAGCTCATGAGCTAGGGAGTGCCAATTGCAGCACAAATATACACCATTGTTCAAGTTACAGCATTCCAAATATTCAATGGATGTTAAAACTGACACCATTGAAATACTTACTCTTTTAATCCATGCGGATAATGCTTTGCTGGAGCTCTAAAAGGTGGGCGTTCTTTTGCAACATATGACTTGGGAACTTCATCTTCATATTTTTCTGAAAAAGGTGGGCGACCTTCTATCATCTATAAAGTAGAGAACATAAGAGAAATTATTAGTTTGGTGCATAGCAATATAGCATACAGAGAGTTGTGTTGAAGACATGGAACTTCATAACTTATTCAATGTTGTAACAATAAAAATGTGAACATAGCAGTAGATTAAAATTTATGAAGATTAGTAGTTTTTACAATAATTTGTTGTAAGAAACAAAGCAAATAAGATTTAACTAACTGAACACCTGGGCTTTTCTTCATCTTGTGTCTGGGCTTTCTTTTTTCCTTTTTTGTTGGGATGAGAGGTCACCAGATAGAAATACAAGTATGGAATTCGATGACTACCAATCATAACAACATTGCAAAGAGTCAATGTTCTGGGTCCTTTAGAAGTTTCAAATTAAAAGTCACTAGAAGAATGATTATCCACAACAATTCTCATGGGGCTCATTTTGATGGTTTTATCATGATAGGTATTTGGCATTATGTAACAGTTTGAGGTTGTCTCCCGGATACACAAGATCAAAGGGCCCACAGATAGGTAGGAAAATGCTTGGCTTTAACAGCTTCAGTTTCTAGTGCAGTTAGTTTTACCCAAGGATTTAATCATTTAAATATGGGAAAATCTATGATGTGGAAAAGATATGGTATGGGAAGAGCTTTGACCAATCAAAATCCACCCATGAATTTTGATAAATATCACCTGATTGGCTACTACATTTATGATAGTGGTTGATTGGTAATATCATATCCTTTCCATATCATAGTGGAACCCTTGAAAAAGTAAAAAATTGAGGTTGGATTGATTTGACCCTAAATTGCCCAACGTGCCATACATCTATGTATTGAATCAACTCTTAAACCATTGGGCCAACTCGATTCTTGTGTTAATAAATGAAATGAAACAACTTTTATTAAATATAGTATCTACATGTAATCCAAATAAATAATACAATTTATGTTTAATAATTCTAACTAAAAACTAAAAAGAGTAATATTCAAATTAATATTTTATAAACTAATGGAATAAATAATCTATCAAATCCACATTAAAATCAAAAGATGAGATTAATCACAAGAAATTTATGCAAATAAAATATTAACAATAGAATAATTATTTTAGTACTTAAAATTAATATATATATGTAGAGAAGATGGGCCGAATGGCCCATAGACAGTCATTTCATGTTATGTTATGTTTCTCTCTATTGTGGGCCTTATTCTGGGCYYATACTCTGTAATATTCTGTTTTTTGTATTTTCCTGCTCACTCAAGGGCCTCTCTGTAATTTGTCAAAGATTAACTTATTAATAAGATGTTTAGAGTGTTAGAGAGGTTATG